GGATCTTTCTCCGGGTCCTTCGGTTTTTCGCTCCACATTTAGAATCACGCGTTTAGAGAGGATTTGCGGCAGTGGTAAATCGCGGAAGGCGAGGGGCCAAGCGGCGACGGGATTTCTCAGCCACCCCACCTCCGATTAGGGATGCCAGGGTGGTGAGATGTTTACTGCCTCGCCTGGTATGCAGGAGGTCGTGGGTGCGATCCCGACCCTGACGCCTGCTGTATATTTAGAGTTTGCGTGTCTTTCTCTCACCGTGGTCGCGTGAATTTTTCTCCGGATCCTCCAGTTTTTCCCTCCACATTTAGAATCCTTACGCGTTTAGAGTTTTTGTCTGCTGTAAATTTCCACATGATAAGCCACCTCATTGAGCTATCATTTGAGACCAGGTTGCTTCTGAAGAAGAGCTACATAGCTTACCTGGTACTGTAGAATAAAAAAATAATTAAGTTTTCGTTGAGTTTGCCTAGATTAGATGCAACTTAAAGAAAAAGGAAAAAGCCGTGCGTACAGATTTAATAAACGAACTCATTACGGTGATTTGCCAAACAGTTTGATTTCACGCGTTTCCTTTAAGATGCAGTTTTGTGTAATTGTTTTATGGCTTTCTGCAAAACGTTTCTTTTAAAAGGGGGCTTTGCTCCGTGGAAGACACCACAAAATTGCATGCGTCTCCTTTTGTGCCAAGTTGTAATTGTGAAACTTGAGACAATCAAGGGCTATAATTTATAATTAACTTTCGCACTCAAGTGATTTTTTTTTGTTAAGACTGCTTATTAGAATTTCTCGAAATTGAAAATTAACTTTTTGCCGCACTCATTCCGTCCTTGATTAGAGCAGACACGAGCGTTGCCACACCAGAGAATTGGCCGAACGTCGCTTGCTCTGGCAGGTGTGGATTAACATCTCCATGCCTCTTTCCCTGGCTCCGGCTATGGCCCATAATCGACATCGAATTGAATACGTTGAACCAAACACTGCACGTGAATTTGAATAATCGTGAGCCGTTATCAGTCCGCTTCTGGATGTATATATGTTGAACTTCTTTCACACCATACGTAGCCAACCGTGCTCATCGGAAGGAAGGGCAACAAACTAAACACAAAAAGCAGTTCTAAAGAAAGTAGTTTTCAACCTATACAGTCAAACCTTGGATTGCGAGTAACTTGGTCTGCGAGTGTTTTGCAAGACGAGCAATTTTTTAAAATAAATATTAATTTGATAAACGAGCGAGGTCTTGCAATACGAGTAGTATGTGTATACGCTTTGTCTGCCGAGCGTCACGTGATCACAACTGATATACGAGTGCTTTGGATTACAAACACGTTTCCGGAACGAATTATGCTCGCAATCCAAGGTTTTACTGTATTTAAAATTACATAGCTCCAGCGGCATTCTAATATCGGAAGAAAGAGTGTTTCGGACAGCTGCAGAAGCGCATCTGAAAGCGCGCGATGCAGCGACCGTCTTTGTTCGACGGCTAGTCAAAAGCCGCTGCTGCGAGGACGATCGGAGTTCGTGTGATGGTTTACGCTTCTTGACGAGATCAGCAAGGTATTTTGGTTCATTTGGGAAAAGCGCTTTGTGTGTAACGACTCCTCCCTGAGGCTGCCACCATCTCCCACGGCCCCACGTGGGAGGAGAGCTGTGTTATTAACAGTTAATCGGGCCTTGCGTTCACTTGTGCAAACGTCACTCGGTGGGGAGAAATATTGCGGCCTGGGTTTTTCTGAAATCCTCATGCGAGGTAGTGGTGAGGACAACCGATCGATTGATTCTATTGGCCCGTGAAATTTACTTTGTAGAGATTAATATCGGAAAGCGACCTTTTTTGACACTCTCTCGGCAGGAGTGTTTGCTTCGCAGTTCATCGGTCTTCTCTTGTCGCCGTTTCATTTGCCTACCGTGCGGATTAAAGGACACACCGCAAAGTAAGACGCGCCCCACAACCCTCGGGTCCTTTTGAAAGCACTTAGAACGTTAAATACGCGCAAATACGGCGCGGGTAAATTTGCAGTATCATCACTCGGGACCGAGTGGAATACAGTTGCCAGGACAAAATATAGCAGCAACCTCTTGGTTCTTTCGGTAAAGTCACGTAGAATGGAAATAATAAAATAATAAAAATTAAACAGAGTCAGACGCTGTCTTCTCGACAGACCTGTTCTCCACCTGAGGACGTCTGCTTGCGTTGTGGCCGAAACGTCGTGATAATTATTTTATTATGTTTTATTTTTATTATTTTATTATTTCCATCCTACGTGACTTTACCGAAAGAACCAAGAAGATGAATCCCTGCAGTCACGAAAGCTTTAAATCGAAATATAGCAGCAACGTTGTATTGTCTCACGGATGATGCACAACGCTGCTCATTTCAACACCGCTACACTCCCGGTCAAAGCAGGTATAAGCAGAACTCCGTAAATAAATGAATGAAATTGTAATGAGTTTGTGTCGCGTAACAGCCAAACAGTTTTCTCTCCAGCCACCTGATAAAATCCGCTGGGCGGAATGAGCGGTGGTGCGTAGGCCGGGTGGTGACGCGCTGTCGGGCTTGTACGAAGGCTGAGTGGCGTGTAGAACTGAGTGGCGTGTCCATTGAGCGCAGTGGTAAGCTTCGTGTCCAGGTTCCAGGTTGCAGGCCACACAGCAGATTATGAGCCGCAACCCCAAACTTTCGCTTAATAAAACTATTGGAAAAAAACTGCATCTTGTAATCCAGAGAAATACGTTTTTAAAGGAGACCTTTTGAAAATATACTTTGCGAAACAGAGTTACACACGAGAGCACGTCATGGTGCCATGGTGGTGAGATGTCAGCTACCTCGCCTGGTATACAGAAGGTCATGGGTTCCATCCTGACCCTGACGGCTAGATATATTTGGTGTTTACCTGTTCTCCCTGTGGTCGCACGGATGTTTCCCCGGGTCCTCCTTTTTTCCCTCCAAAGTACAGTAAAACCTTGGATTGCGAGCATTATTCGTTCCGGAAACGTGTTTGTAATCCAAAGCACTCGTATATCAGTTGTGATCACGTGACGCTCGGCAGACAAAGCGTATACGCGTACTACTCGTATTGCAAGACCTCGCTCGTTTATCAAATTAATATTTATTTTAAAAAATTGCTCGTCTTGCAGAACACTCGCAGACCAACTCAGTCGGCCTTACCTGGTAAAATAAAAAGACCAGTTTGTTGGACGTCGCCGGGTTGCGTGTCCGGGGCTCTTTAAAACACGAGGCGGCGTCTGGAAGGAGTTCCCCGGCAAAGCGTCAGCGCATGTCGTTTCGAGAGGTTTGGCAAACGGCAAGTCTGCCGCGCCAGGACCGTGCGAGCACAGAGTTGCCGTCGGGTACCAGCTGTGACCTCGGAGGTGACCCACGGGGTGAGGGGTCAGCACCCACGACGGAGGTCGTCTCACGGTTCGCCTTTCAAAGGGGCCTGGGGTTTGGCGAATATTCAAAATGAAGTGTGGGGAGGCTGCCACCCCGCCCAGAAGAGGGCTTAAGAACCTCGGTCATGTGTTCAAAGCCTCGCGCGAGGTATTTGGAGAGGGACCGGGGGGGGGGTGCTGGGGTGGGGTGGCTGTGTCAGTCTGTTAACCCTTTTCCCATTTCGATGACGTTTGTGTACGTCATCAGTTTTTTTTTTTATCGGTACTGAGGCTCCCAGAAGGCCATGCGGGGAGGACGTGTGGCACAGTTTTGACGTGTCACTACAGTTCTCTGCGGTGAGCGCAATGTCTTTAAAAACAACGGCGCTATGCCTCTCTGAATAACATGAACGCTGAACCGTTTGCGCGTTCCGAGATTCAGAGGTGAAGGGGACTCCCACCCTGCCACTTGTAGATGTCTCGTAACGGCAAAGGGTGAAGCTGTTCGGGCCTGTAAATTATACTGGAAGCCCCTGGGCAAGCTGTGGGCCTACGGGTGTGAAGTTGATCGCCATGTAGATTGAAAGATTTCAGTTTGGAATACTTTATAAGAGTGGAATGCCCAGTATGAATCTATAACGTGCAGCTCGGAGGCAATGAATTTGTATAAAAAAAAAAACATTTCGGGTGATTCAACGAGAATTGTTTTGCAGATTTAATGTCTCGGGTTTAAAAGTAAAACCGTGATGAATGGGACGTGTGGTGCGAGGTGAGAGTATGTTCTGGGATAATAAAGTACCGTAGTAAGAAAACGCCCACCATCAGCAGTTCGTATTTGAAGCGCGCGCACGCACACACGCACGGTATTCGCCGTACGTTCTGCTGTGCTTTGCCATATTGACTCTACGGTTACCCTTATTTCATACACTTACCCAGAGGAGCTGGGCCATCCGTTTCTTTAACTCGTGGATTATTCTCTTGATAATCAGATTGATGACTTTACTTATCAGGGAACACAAGAATGGTTGAAGAGAAAAATGTCTCTCCTCGTTTCCTACCAGTGCGTGTTGCTGGACGGGAGGTGATGGGTGGGGCTTGGTCGATCTCACTGGCATCATCAAATGCGTCACCGTTGGACGTGGCTTGTTGGGGGTTTCCTGCCTTCAGGAGGCAGGTCGGTTGGGGGTGGCCTCCATTTTATATTGGCCCGAAAAGCGACCACAAAATAAGTAGTTGATTACGATTGTGAGTCAATTCATCGACTTGGTTGACCAATAGTCCGAGCCGTGATGTGTGTGTGTGTGTTGTGGGGTGTGTAGGGCTGCCACATTTTCCACTGTAGACCAAACCGGACATATTTTTCAGTCGCACCAGGTCTATTGTCAAAACTGTGCGGTCCACTATCGTAATTCCGGTACCAGATCTCGGTACCAATACATTTCTGCCGCCCGAACACAGATGCCGATTCCCAGACTGTACCGGGTGAAACCCGGGACAGGTGGCGATCCTTGCACGTGTGTAGTGCGTGTTGCATGTTGCATGCTGTGTGTGTGTGGTGTGTGCGTGTTGTGTGTGCGTGTTGTGTGTGTGTGTTGTGTGTGCGTGTTGTGTGTGTGTGTTGTGTGTGCGTCCAGCCGGTCAACGTTCTGGCCAACCTCGCCAGCTCCACCGAATGCCACCTTGGTCCTCCACACCGCCAGGGAGTCGTGGGAGCCGCGATGCATCATGGGAATGCGAAGATGAGTCCAGCGCAAGCGGCGATGGCAGGTGTGGTTTCCAATTGCAGGTGTGGGCGGCACGGTGGCGAGATGTTAACTACCTCGCCTGGCGTACAGGAGGTCGTGGGTTCGATCCCGACCCTGACGCCTGTACATTTAGAATTTGCACGTTCTCCCCGTGGTGGCGTGGAATTTTCTCCGGGTCTTCCGGTTTTTCCCTCCACATTTAGAATCAACGTGCGTTGAGAGTATTTGGCTGCTGTACATTTCCACGTGATCAGCCACTTCGTTGAGTGATCATTTGTGATAGCCAGTTTGCTGTGTGTCGCACCAGGTCTATTGTCAAAACTGTGCGATCCACTATCGTAATTCCGGTACCAGATCTCGTTGGTGTACGGTGCTTTTTCTGGAATATTTTGCTGTCTTTTCCTGGATTTTCTGTTTGCACATAGTCACATAGTCACTTTAAGATGTTTTCTTGTTTTTGTTTTTTGTATGTTGCGGTTGCACCCGATTCAAGAGTCGAATGGCTCACATGACTATACCAAATAAATGAAACTGAAAACTGAAACTGCTTCTGAAAAAGAGCTATCTAACTCAATGGGCCTTGCCTACGAAAATAAAAAAATAGATTAAGTTTAGTTTTACTTTCTCATCAAGTCCTTTTCCACTGGCACAACCGAGCCGGTGCATGGGCCCTGAATCCATACAGGTGGGTTTCCACCGCGGCTATTTTGTCGCAAACCATGAAACTCTGGCCTCCCAAGACATCTGAATCTGACTTTGGTGGCCAAGCAACGCCAGGGGCGAGCTTAACCATTTTCGTCACATGCTGCTGTGTCCGTGAGTACAACTTGAGCGCGCGCCACGCGTTCCTCTTAATTTCTCAGTTTCAATCTTTTTCTTTCTCCCCCGAATGGCCCTCGTTTTAATGTTGCATGTTGCAGTTGCATCGACCCAGTTTTTTTGTTTGTTTGGGCCGTGTTGCTGCCCTAGTTTCATTCGTAATGACTGCGACGGAAAGTAAAAGCGGGCTTGGGCAAGACGCGGCGAAATTAGATGTGATGGCCACTGAAGAACACCGGTGATGGGATCGGGGGCCCAAAGGAGCGAACGTTTTTAAGGGTGTGGCCATCGCAGACGTGAAGCGGCGAGATCGGCCCGCGCGCGGGGGAGCGAGGTCGATGATGGGCACTGCCGAACCGTCGGGGATAGCAGCTTTACGCGGGAGGCCTTCGTCCAGAAGTATATGGACCACGGGTGAAGCTCATAAACCGTGTGCGGTTTTGCCTTGTGCCTTAATTTCATCCGGGACAGTCCGGAACGCTGTTCCGGGAATTATTTCAGCGCCCAGCCAGATCCCTCACGCACTACATTGTGACTAATTCTAGATTTGAAGCTTTCGTGACTGTAAGGAAAAATAAAATAAAAAATAAAATACATTGTGACTGTAATAAACCTGTTCATGGCATTATATGAATATAGGGTACAACAGCAAAAAAAGTGACGACAGATAGACACGTGCCTTGTTACTCTGCAGTGGCAGTGCCGAACACTGATAATCCCAAATTTGAAGCTTTCGTGACTGCAAGTATTCATATTCTTAGGTTCTTTCGGTAAAGTCACGTAGGTAAAAAATATTAAAGTTAATAAAAGTAAAATTAAAATAAAATAGAAAATCACGACGTTTCGGAGGCAACACAAGCTTCCGTCTTCAGGTGGAACCGTCACAGCACGATAGCTGTATCAAGTGTTGTGATAGCTGTATCAAGTAAATACAGCTATCGTGCTGTGACGGTTCCACCTGAAGACAGAAGCTTGTGTTGCCTCCGAAACGTCGTGATTTTTTATTTTATTTATTTATTTTACTTTTAGTAATTTTAATATTTTTTTACTTACGTGACTTTACCGAAAGAACCTAAGAACACCGATAATCCCCACTCCAAGCCAACACTCGCGGCACTCCGGGAGATCTCAGGCGAGACGTCGAGCCGTGGTTATACGGGGGTAATCGAGGAGGTGAACTTCTTGCACAGACGGAGGACGCTGCGAGCAAAGTAATTAAGAAGGGAATGTTTAGATCATGATAATAAGCAGTGCATGGCTAATGGCTGCACCATACAATGTGGCAACTAAATGGTCACAGCAGGGATGGGGGGGTGGGGGTCGTCCTTTGGCCAAACCTCGCGTACCGCCCGGAAAAACGAGCGTTAATAAAGCCACGCTCGTTTTTTTGTGGAGTTCGGCTAAACTGAGCTATGAACTAGACAATTTTATTATTTTCACCAGGTAAGACCCACTGAGCTATGTAGCTCTTTTTCAGAGGCTATCACAAATGATAGCTCAACGAAGTGGCTTATCACGTGGAAATGTATTGCAGAGGAATACTCTTAAACGCACGTTGATTATAAATGTGGAGGGAAAAAACCCGAGGACCCGGAGAAAAATCCACGCGACCACGGGGAGAACATGCAAACACCAAATATACAATCTAGATTTGAATATACAGCGTCAGGGTTGAGATCGAACCCACGACCTCCTGCATACCAGGCGAGGTAGATAACATCTTGCCATGATGACTGCTTCGATCATCAAGCGTAGACGGATTGGGCTCTGTGCGACGTGTTTCTCGTGATGATACAACCCTTTTGCATAAATCACCTGAAATATAGTAGTAGGTTTTTACCCTTTCAACTGGTACAAAAACTGACACCTTTATACAAAGGCATCATGTTTGCAATAACCACAACACAAGCAGTCAAAATGCAAACAAAAAGAAACAACTCTGATGATGGTAATGATATGCACTGTCCTTGAAGTTGATTGGTCCACACCCGAGACAGCTTTTCTTAGAGCCTAGTCTCCATTGGTGTTGGACCAGATGACGCCAAAAGGCGTACAACTCAAAGACAGCGCACTACCAGAGTATTGAGAGCTCGGGGTAAGCATTTACACTATGAGACATCTCCTTTACCAGTGGCAAAATATAGTAGTAGGTTTTTACCCTTTCAACTGGTACAGTTGGTACAGTTGAAAGGGTAAAAACCTACTACTATATTTTTGCCACTGGTAAAGGAGATGTCTCATAGCACCTGAAATATGTTGCGCTGCTCTTTATCCCTGCCTGGTGGCTCGCAATCGGAAGGTCGCAAGTTTACATCCGAGTTGAGGTGCAACTCGCCCATCCCCCCCCCACCCTACAGGCGGTTTACAACAGCGGTTTGTCTACGGGTAGACCAGGGGTCGGTCACCTGCGGCTCCGGAACCGCCGTGGGCTCATTCAGGGCTGTTTCGTGACGTCATTTGATAAGGATCGGCGGAGTGAGCGAGCGAGTAACGGCCGGCGCTGTGCCATGTGCGCAGGAGGAGACGGGGGCTTCCCGACGTCGCTGGTGCTCACCCTGCAGAGCCCCGCCACCCCGGCCGGCGGAGGAGCGAGTCGACGGCAACACTCCACGGTGAGACGTTCGTGTTCCCGTAAGACCTGCGCCTCCCTGCCAAGCAGTGGCCTGGGTTCGATTATATCCTACTAGGTTGCTTTTCTGCGTGGAGTTTGTATGTTCTAACCTCTCTGTTCTGTGTGGGTTTCCTCTGGTTTCCTGCCATAGATAAGACAACTCTTGCAGTCTTAATTGGCATCGGCCAAAACATCCCGATGCAAAAGATTACTCAATTGGAATTGCGTATGGTAACATGGCCATCTGTATGTGTGGATGTTGAACTTCTTTCGCGCTGTACGTAACCAACTGCTAATCGGAGATGCGGGGGAAGGGGAACAAACTAAATGCAAAAAGCAGTTCGAAAGAAATTACTTTAATATAGATTTAAAAGTCCATTGCTCAAGTGGCTTCCTCATTTATCTTGCTTTATCCTGCTGCCCGGTTTACGCCCCCTCTCTTCGTTGAACCCACGTGGCGTGGTGGAGTCCCTCGCCTAGCAGTGATTGGCAATCGCGGCTGTACGCGTACAAAGATTCACAGACGCGCGCACCGATGCGGCTGCCCTGAATACAGACGCAAGGAAGCGTCTCCTTGGATACAGACAAAACTCCACCAATGCTCCGGGAGCGGGCCGAGAATGGGACACGACCACAACCCAAAACCTTCTTCCGCAACCTCTTATTGGCACGGTTGGCTACGTACGGTGCGCAGGAATTTCAACGTACATTGCCTCGACTTGTTCGAGGCGCGCTGTGTCCGTTGGTGCCCCCGATATCAATTTTTCATCTCCGTCTCGCTCGGTTTGTGTAACGGCCCTTTTGTCAATCCACTGCTGGATGAAGCCCCTCCCCAGGACTCGTCAATCGCGGTGGGGGGCTTGTTTGGCCATATTTCGCCATTCTGGCGATCACGGGTTTGTGAAGCGGCTGGGGATGCCCGGGACCAGTAATTGGCGTCATGCGCTGACAACTGCGTCATCTTCTTGGTTCTTTCGGTAAAGTCACGTAGAATGGAAATAATAAAATAATACAAATAAAACATAATTAAATAATTCTCACGACGTTTTGGCCACAACGCAAGCAGCCGTCCTCAGGTGGAGAGCAGGTCTGTCGAGTAGACAGAGTCTGAATCATTCACTCGACAGACCTGCTCTCCACCTGAGGACGGCTGCTTGCGTTGTGGCCGAAACGTCGTGAGAATTATTTTATTATGTTTTATTTTTATTATTTTATTATTTCCATTCTACGTGACTTTACAGAAAGAACCAAGAAGATGAATCCCTGCAGTCACGAAAGCTTTAAATCGAAATTTAACTGCGTCATCACTCCGCCACCTTTATCGTCAACCGTTGCTTATCCATTGCTGCAGCAGATAAGAGTTCACGAATTTCTTGAATTGAGCGAGGTTATTATAAGAACTTTGAAAAGGAGGCAATGGGAGGGAATTCCAAAGCGTAGTGCTGCTAAGGAAATGCAGAAAGAGAAGTGTTGTGACCTGCGGTGCGGCGGCGGTGGTGGTGGTTGAACGCGGTGTGCAGGACGAGACTAAACAGTCGGTGTCTGGTGGACCGAGTCCTCAAAGTGCGTGGAGGAATCAACGAAAAAAATTGATGGGTAGTAACCATGGCGATCCGAGGGGGTGGTACTTGGATGGTGTTTTTAGACACGCCTACCACCAAGTGATGTCCACGTGGTGAGATGCTCTGAACAGAAACATCGGATCAAGATGATATTGTGGCCAAAGCTGTTGAAGCCACCAACACCACCACAATCACCGCCGCCACCACCACCACCAACCGCACCTCCATTGCCAACTCGTTCTCTCCTCCACCAGATCCACCAGCGTCTGTCCAGCAGATACACAGCGACCTCCAAGATCTTCCCCCCCAACGCTATCCCACCATCTGGCCTTGCTAGGCTTTTTGGGACACGTGGAGACCTCTCCAATGCACGTAATATAATAATTAATTGGTGGGGTCGGTGGGGGCGGGCATCTCCATTTTGTTTTTCAGGGGGGCTCCCGTTCCTGCTTCCAGCCTCTCTCGCTGGGCCCGCAGTGCGGCATGACGGGCGATCGCACGCGGTCCCCGCAGGAGAGGCTCGAGTCGTTCAACCACCTCGGCCACCTCCCCTCGCCCACGGCTCACCAGGTTGGCGCGGCAACACGCGGCAAAACACGCGGCAAAACAGGCGGCAACACGCGGCAACACGCGGCAAAACACGCGGCAACATGCGGCAACACACGCGCAGCGCTCCTCCCGTATCCGCGGAGCGTCGTCCGCGCTGCCGCGCTCTCTCGTAAATTTGCCTCGCTCGACGCAGAGGGAAACGCTTTACGCACTTAGCGATCGTTGCTGCAGCTTCGATCGTGCGGTTTGCTGGGAGGCACTTGGAGTTTCCTACCTTTTGGGGCCCTGCACCCATCAACTGCGTAAAGTCTATTTACATAGGCAGAGTAATGCCCCGGTTTGTGTCTGGGGATGCTTTTTGTGTTTAGTGTGTTGTCCTTCCCCCGCACCTCCAACTAGCACGGTTGGCTACGTATGGTGCGAAAGAAGTTCAACACACGTACATCAAAACGCGGTGCATCAATGCAGTTCACAGGGTGGGTGGGGGGTGGGTGCGAAGGTGCACGTGCAAGGACGGACGATGCTGTCGGCGTGGAGAGAGCGTGGGTTGAGGCGACACAAATCGGGTCGCGGTGTTAATGAAGCGACGGTGTTATTTTGCGAAACTATGTAGAAAGGGGGAAACGTAAATCAAGGGGGGGGGGGTATCCCTGTACGTGTACACGTGGTTAGAGGATATAGATGCAGAAGGCGTTTCAGTTGGCCCGTGTAAGTAGTAAAAATAAATACGTTGGATTCCATGAGACCGTTGGTTTTCCAGACAGCATTTGTTCAAGTGAGCAAACTCTGGATATGGTTTCGACTTTTAGCGTCTCATCGGCAGTGTCAGGCTCAGTTAACAAATACCGCTGAATGGCATTATTGTCTTTATGGCCCAGTTATATCTTGATTGTGCTCTGGGCACCATGTAACGAGACGAAAAATCCGTTTGGAACTCTCGCAGAAGTAGTGGGGCGATAAAATAGTTACCACTTTTTCTGGGGAAGTAAACGCTGGTTGTCCTATTGGAAAGACTCGGCCCCGCCATAGGAATGTGTATTTCCCACCGCTGCTTCGGGGCTGTAAACAGGACGTGAGTTTGTTTTGAGCTACTCACTCACAGAGCTGCTGTGCCACACTTGTCCTGCGCGCAGGCGCGCATTCACCAACGCGTGCGCGTTGTCCACTTCACCGCGGATGCCGCGACGTCGTTCCGTACGAGGGTAGAAGCCGCGTGCCGGCGTCGCGCTCCCGAGTTTTGGCCAAACATGGGAGAGAAAGAAAAAATTGCCTCCGTTTATAAAACTCGTGCGCCCACCGTCGTCCCCTGCGACGACACGCTTTCGCGAGGCCCCCCCGAAAAATTGAGCCCGGAGATTCGGCGATGCTTTCCCTGGGTAAAATATAATAGTAATAACGTTGTTCTCGTAACAACAACAACAGCAACAACAATAATTATTATTTTTAAAAAGAGCAGCAGGGCGCGCTCGTCGCGTGCTGCTGATTGGCGCCCCTGCGGTGTCGCACTTTTAATATCGGCTCCTGCGATCCACTGCCCCCCCCCCCCCACCCCGACACTCGTTGGGGACGACGAAGCGACTCTGCCGGCGATAATTAGCCCAGCCCAACTTGGTGGTGGAAACATTTGTTGTTTCTGATTGAGCCCGTGTCAATCTTCCATTAATTAAACTAAACAATCAAAATCCCGCTGTTAGAGGCCACTTACCCCTGCCGGCGTCCCGTCGACGCCTTTGTTTTTTGTCGTCCTCGGTCGTCGTCAATTTTCATAACCGCGTCCTCTTCCCCCCCCCCCCCCCCCCCCTTATTGCCCTAATAAACCCTCGCCGATATTAATTCACCAAACTCGCAAAGCGCGAAGAATATATTCTCGCACGTTTTTTATTGCCGAAACTGGGGAGGTCACTGTGGGTGCAGGACCTTTAATTACGCGAGATTTTAGCCCCAAATCCCCCAGATTTCCCGATCGCGGCTTTTCATTAGTGTTAGAATGGCAGGCGTTCGGTCTCCAGGCAACCACTGGCACGGGTGCCCTGTCCCTCCGTGATGAACGTTTTAATGCCCAGACTCTGACTCTGCGAGGAAATGATCGCGCTGAGCACTGAATCTTCCCGGTGTCGTGTTGACCGTTTGTATCGAGCGAGTGCTTCTTCTATGAGCTATGCGGACTTGTTAGTATTAGTATTGCTCTGTATCTGTGTGCGCATTGCTCCATATGTGTACGTACGTACGTACGTGAGTGTGTGTGTGTGTTTGAAGAGCGGTGGAGCAATGGTTTGCGGCACTGCACACAAAAAGCCGGCGACCCGAGTTCGATTCCCGCTCGTGACTAATAACAGCGGCGAATATTGGAACCAGCGGTGTGTAAACGTGAGCACTCGGGATACAGAGGCGTCCGGCCGTCTGGCCTCCCATCCCTCGTGTGTGCCGTGGCGACCTTCATCAGCGCTCGCTCACAGCACCTGCCCCAACTGTCTGTCGTTTGTGGACTGCCATGAAGACCGCAGCGTTCCAGTTTTAATTCCTGGCACAAAAATCAGTGGCAGCTACTGTCCTGACGTGGTTGTGGGCAATCTCTAGGTTGACTTGGCCTAAGATGAGTACCTGTTGCGGCGATGATGTCAACATAATGAGTGGGTGTACGGCACTGCCGCTGACGTGTTCGCAGGCTACACGTACCATGGGGCGCTGTGCCAAGCTTAGCACCAAACTACACCCGTATCAACGGCCGCTTGCGTCGAGAGAGAGAGAGAGCGAGAGAGCGCGCGAGAGAATAATGCGTTTTAATGAGCTTGCCAAGTAGGAGCCGGTAAGCAATTACGATGATTACTTTATGCTTTCTGTACAAGAAGAGGAAGGGTGGGGGATTTCGTCACGTTAATTGCAACGCACAGGAACAGAAAATTCTCCTTCGCAAGCGGCTGGAGAGTCGTAATCCGCGTGGTTAAGTGAAGCCGAGAGGCTGTTGCGAGTGGCACGGAGGAACTGGGAAAACGGAGTCTTCGAGATCCAAGCTCCCCGCTCTTCAAGTTCAAGTTCATTTATTAGGTATAGCCCTGTGAGCCATTCGGCTCTTGAATCGGGTGCAACCGCAACAAACAAAAAACAAAAACATGAACAAAAAACATCTTACAGTGACGGGGAGCGTCAGCCATCCTCCGCTAATTACCGTCGCTCGCGCTTCCACAGGCACCGTTGCTGCTGCGGAGCTGCGCAAGTGCAAATTACGATAGCGTCCACGTTTTTAACTTCCCGTTTCAGCATTTTTCCCATTTTGCCGCAACTCTTAACCCCATCCCCCCGGTCTCCTGCGGGGTTGGGTGGCTCGCGGTAACCCAGCTGCTGATGGCCACGCGCGAGTCCCATTTCTCTCCAAATAAAATAGATACCAAAATTAATGAGTCGAGCCGTTGCCACGGGCGTCAACTGAGCATCGACACAATCCCATCCGAGAGGCGCCCGAAAATTCCCACGGAGGCGGCGGCGGCGGCCGCAGGAACGTGGCGGCAAAGTTCGCAACAGAGGCGGGCTGCTCGTCAGACTCGTCTTGACAGGCTTGATTGAGGGTCATTAATCGGGTGATAATTGGCCACCTCTGCCCACGTAGTGCCATTTTTAAGATGCAGGTTTTTCACACCGGAGCGTACGGCTCTGCATCAAAGTGACGCTTTTACGAAAAAAAATCTAAATCGAGTTTTAATTTATTATTTTGTAAAGATGCGTATTCATAGTTTTAGGCTCGGTGTTAAGGTGGCAAAGATTGAGTTGCATCCCTGCGATCGCTCGCTCGCACCACTCAACTGGAGAGCCGGCTCTTCCGTGGTGGTCGGACACCGCACGTGACCTTCGCACTGCAACTTCCCGCGGTGTGTACCCACTTACGGTATGGACAGAGATTGGGGGAGAGTTTAACACGTAGCAGGCTTTCGCGACCAATATTATTCATAATCAACGTTTTTGCGTTTAGATCGCGTTATTTATAAATGTGTCGTAACCCTTCACCACCCGACACGGCCAATCAGTAAAAAAGTGTCACGTTGACAAAAGACAATTAGTTCACTGGTGGGCTAAAGCAGTGAACTATTTGTCTTTTGTAAACGTGACACTTTTTTACTGATTGGCCGTGTCGGGTGGTGGAGGGTTACGACACATTTATAAATAACGTGATCTAAACCCAAAAACGTTGATTATGGGGGAGAGTTGTTGGGGCAGGGAGGGGGTGGCGAAACCCAAACGGTTTCACCTGGCCCGCCGGGAGATTGGACCGAACCGGCGACCTCTGGATTGCGATTCCCGTGGCGGCTCACCGTTACACCGTGACAGAGCGTGGACTCGGCTCCATTTGCGTACGGTCACCCGCACACAGCCCGGTTCTTTTTTTTACAAACGCGGCAGTGGTAAATCGCGAAAGGCGAGGGGCCAAGCGGCGACGGGATTTCTCGGCCATCGCACCTTTGATTTGGGGCACCAGGGTGGTGAGATGTTAACTACCTCACCTGGTATGCAGGAGGTCGTGGGTTCCATCCCGACCCTGATACCTGTATTTTTGGAGTTTGCGTGTTCTCCCCGTGTTCGCGTGCATTTTTCTCCGGGTCCTCCGGTTTTCCCCTCCACGTTTAGAATCAACATGCATTTGGAGTATTTGGCTGCTATAAACTTCCACGTGATAAGCCACCTCATCGGGCTATCATTTGTGATAGCCAGGTTGCTTCTGAAACAGAGCGACATAGCTCAGTGGGCCTTAGCTGGTAAAATAAAGAGAGCTATTTAGCACGGTTGGCTATGTGCAGTGCGAAAGAAGTTCAACGTACATACATAACGTACCGTTGAAGTGTCGTCACGCCCCTGTCTAACGAATTCACGAATTTGGTTGGGTGAGTTCCCTTCTATTTTTTTTTTGGTGAATGCGGAGAACTTGACGGAGGAGCTCCTAGCTGAGACGACGGGCCCACTCGTGGTTTAATCTCGCGTAGGGGTTGGTCAAGGCCGCGTTGTCCCTGAGAGGCGCCGACGACCTCCTTGAGCAACGAAGCTTTCAACGGCGAAAACCGACAAATCCTGAGCACGACGTTGATTATATCGTCTGCCGAGCATATTGTGTCAACGATTCGAAAAGTTGTCGCATCAGTGATCGTACACGGTTTCGATTAGACGGAAGTAGAAAAAGGAGGGTTTTTCCTTGATTTTTTTTAAACATTTATTTCTCCCTTCACCGAAGAAGGCAAGCCAAGTCAACATTTTCAAGGTTCCTTTTTCTTACATTTCTGCGGACAAAAAAAAAATGCAGCTGCTGTCATCACGTGATGAGTCAGTGAGAATGTTATTCTAGTCGAGCAATGGCAGTGAAAGTATAATGCGTGATTCAAGCGCCGAAATAAAATGTCTTGATCTGTAATGGAAAGCCTCGTCACACTGGCTTTGGCAGTGGTGCACAAGCACTGTTAGCAACGACACGAAACGATTGTCAATTACGCTGCCCTCAAGAGGAACAAAATATATAATGGGTGATATTTTGGGCAATTTACCTTCTCGGTAAAGAAAGTTATTTTGTTATTACCTGTTATGAAGAAGGATCATTGACCGACGTCTTGTCTATCGTGTAATCTTTCCTCTTCACGGCTGTGGTTTTGACAAATGTGTTGAGTTTTTTGGACTGTAAATGGCACTGTTGCTCATGATATCTTAGCATTTGGGCTGCGGCGGGTTAAGCCATCCCACACGCGATTTGTTACGTCTGTACAACATACTTTACCACCATCGCCTTTATTACCAATTCACTTTTTTTCTATTTTAACAACCGAACAAAACACAAAGCCTGACTGCCACTCGCTTAAAGCTCCTTCACGGGAAGCCCGTTTCACCATCAGCCACGGGGGAACGCCCTCGCGGATTTTGACCGTCGCAGGAACGTCAATCCCGCGGCCTGAAACGGACAAACGGTGACGGACAGCAAACGCTAGGCGCTCGTCAGGAAAAGAAACATCACGGCCGCGTTTTTTGGGCCCGCAAAAGGAGTTAATTCTACAACAAACACGGTCACCCGCCCCCCCGCGCGCTGCGAATAGCTCCGGCTTTGAAGGCGGCCGGTCGGCCGGCAGGGTGCTCCGCTCGGGAATTTTCATCGGAATCTAAACATTTCCCGTCGGCGCGAGTCGACGTGCAGCCGAGAGGGGCCTTTGATGTCCCCCCCCCCAACCCCCCGTCGTCTTTGACCGTCGACAAGACAAGTCGTCTTTTTTTTTGCTTCTCGCGCGCTCCGCTCGCCGTTGTGCGCCGTTAATCTGCGCGGAGGCAGGCCCGTCTAAAGCGGGCCCGTTTCTGACATTTCGCCGCGCTCATTCCAAATCCCCGGCCGGCTTATTTCGGAACGCGGAAGAATCGGCTCGATTTTGTTGACGCATATCTCTTTAACGCCGGTCCTCAGGCCGAGCGGTCGGCCTTGAAGCGCCGCGCAGACTCCACGCGCGGCGGACGTCACCGTCGGGATTAGCGTCCTCGTTTAATTTTCGTGTTCCAGGAATCTTGCGGGCGTTTTTGGTGCGGGCGTGTAACTTGAGGCCACGTCGAGCAGGCTAGCATCCCATCCCGCATCGCACACTGTTCTTGTCCAAAACACACAGCATTGAGTAAATACTACGTTTACCTCCCCACGATGCGCGCGCATGTGTGTGTGCGTTTGGGGAGCGGGTGTGTAGTGGTTATTGCGCTCCGCTACGAACCCGGCGACCCGAGTTCAATTCCCGCTGACGGCCAACACCAGTGACGATTATCTGAATTGGTCCTGGGCTTCCCCTGGGTCGACTCAGACTCAAATGAGGCGGCCAGGGCGTGGTTCTGGCCACCCACCCCCTCGTGTGCTTTACCGGCCTTCATAGGTGCTTTTCCCCCAACAGTTTATTAAGGTTATACGGGGGATCTTTGTCTTTGTCCGTGTGCCGTGCCGGCCCTTAACAGTTGTTTTTTAACGAAAATTTCGGTCAGCGGCACAACGATAAAAAAAAAAATAGAAAATATTATCATTTGTAACGCGCACAGTTTTCGTTCACTCTCGGAGGGAGACATTTATATTCGGAGGCGCTGGAAACCACGGACAAAAGTGCCGACAATTGCCTAAGCTCTGCGGTCCTATCTTGGGATGTTTGGGAGGGAACCGGAGTAGCTTTGTGTAACACTCCCTGTACATCGCCTGGGTCGCCCTACGCTGGCAAACCTGGCGATGGCGACCTCAACGCCTGCGGATCGCGAGTTTTCGCGAGTGATTGCGATCCACCGATCCCTCACCGTCATCACGGCGCTGGACTAGAGGACGAGCGAAGCAGCGCCACCGCCGCTGCTCGACCCTGCTAACAAGCCGTGGTCGGGCGCGGGGGGCGTTGTTGTTGTCTCTGCTGCGCGTGTGTTCGTCCGTGGGTGGGCGCGCAGGCGGAGTGCGATCTCTCGGAGAGCGACGACCGCAAGATGAAGAGCAAGCGCGGAGTGCTGCCCAAGCACGCCACGGGCATCATGCGCTCCTGGCTCTTCCAGCACATTGTGGTGAGGCACCCTCCCCTCCCGTCCACGCCGGCTCCGGTGGGGACTCGCTCGCGTATGCGGGCCGCACCTCACGTACACAATTTTTTTTCCCCGCCTGCCGCATCCGAGGCAGCGTGGGGGGTCGGCGCACCCCGGGTGGTTGTTTCCCCCCACCGGCTATTTGCCGAGCCGAGCCAGATCGGAGCCGTGCAACGGTGGACTCACAACGCGTCTGAATCTGGCCCAAGCAAGGCTAGGGGCGGGGCGGCGGGGGGTGTTGCAATGTGCGTGCAGTGCCGTGTAACGTCATCCATAATACAGGTTTTTTTGGGTTAGATCGCGGAAATATAAATGCGTAGTCAAACCCGCCACCACAGCTAATTGGTAAGGTTTGTCACGTAAACAGAACGTGGCCAATTCGTCACTAATACAGCAACACCGGTGTGTTGGAGAGCCAAGCTACAACACTTACAATCGGAGTACGACGTTTGGCCAGTTATTACAACCAGCTTCATCAGACGAACAGCCACGTTGATGTCAGTCGGTGCAACTCGCTCCGAGGGGCCCGTGACCCATGGCTTGAGAAGCCGCATTCCAGACTGCCGACGCAGGTGAAGCAAGAGAGAGTTGGGAGGGCATGAATGTGCTGGTATGCATGAGGTCGTGGGTTCGATCCCAACCCCTGATGCCAGCTGTATATTTGGAGTTTGCATGTTCTCTTGCTCCCCGTGGTCATGTGGATTTTTCTCTGGGTCCTCCGGTTTTTCCCTCCATCTGGAAGAATCAACGTCACGCGAGTGTTTGGCTGCTACACATTTCCACGTGATAAGCCACTTCGCTGGGCTATCATTTGTGGCCAGGACGCTTCTGAAAAAGAGCTACACAGCTCGGTGGGCCTTCATTTGGTAAAATAAAAAAAATTATTCAGTTGGAAATATTGCTGAGTTTAGAAAGGAAATCCAGAAAAGCATGTGGGCTGTGCTTGTGTCGTTCGAGACGTAGTTGTTGATGCATCACCTCTTTCCTGAGCGATCCGTGCCCGTTGAACAGAGGGATATTTTGGCTCTCGGTTGCCTGTGAAGTTTAATTTTGTTTGCTTCATCCGGCCGCCTTCATTTTCAAGCTGTCGCTGTTTTTGTTTTTGAGGGCGGAGAGAGATGAAAGTGAACAAGGATCCTTACATTATTCTTTTGTTGGTGGGTTTTTATTTTTACAAACAAAAAATAAATTGAGATGTTGCAATTTTTTACGTGATCTGCATTCATTCAAAGTGATGGCCTTTGCTGCCTTTTGAAACATTTCCCTGTTTTTTCGGACGAAATTACACAAAAACAAAACTGCGTCACAAGCACGCACAATAAATCCTCAATGGGCAACGTTTCATGCAATGACCCTTATTCATCGCACAGACTTAAAGAAGGAGCTCTACGCAAAAATGATATTTTTTCTTCCCCTTTTAGGGCGGTGTCTTGACGATTGTGCTTTGTATCTGCCATTTATTTTTCCGACACATCTGTCAACTTAAAAGAGAGGGTCCCTGCTAGGTCACGTGCACGCGACTAAAACAAAAATAACCACGTGCACAGTTGCACGCTGGGTGACTTGAAATGGAGGCGCCGGGTGGTGTTTTAAGAACGGAAACGCACATTCGTTGGTAATTTATTGTTCGTGTCGGATCGCGCAAAATGCAATGTGTGTCATACACCCTCCTCCACCCAACATGGGCCAATGAATCAACGCCGTCGCGTGAACTGACGCGGCACTTTAGCGTTGCTGCAGCGCGGCGGACTGCCGGAGACGGAACCCAAAACGTCGTTTCGGCGGTAGCTGCAGCCAGCATTGTTGCGCGTTTGCTGAAGCGATAAAAAAAAACATTGGCACGTCTGCTTCTCTTTATCGGCCACGTATGTTTGAGGAAGGCTGTACGACAACACATTGCCCGGTGTTTTGTGTGCGTGTGTGTGTGTCGTCGAGCCCGCGAGTAAAGAAATTAATAAAAAAGCTCTTCGACAGTGAACATTAAGACGGTGCGTGCGAGCGCGATGCTGATGGAGTGACCGCGCTGACGGCCGCGTCAAGATCGACGGCGAGGGGAGCGCGAGGCGGCGTGGGGGTTTACGGCGCGGCGGTTTCGCAAATTACGCCGTCGCCGGCAAAATGACGAGGGTGCAATTAAGACATTTGTTATTTCATTTACCAGCTCAGTAGACATCGCAAAGCATAATGTGTGTTTGTAACAGCTGAGAAAGCGTGCCGTGCCGGGCCGTGCATGGTTTGTGATTTTAATTAACTCTAATGTGTTGTTTGTGGCATTGTGCGTTTGCCAAGTGCTCTGTCTCTCTCCCCCCCATCACATTTCACCCCCCCCTGGCTCCCCCCACATCTCACACCCTCCCCCCCATCCTCCACTCCCTCCTCCTCCTCCCTCCTCTCCGCATCTTTTGCCTGGCTTCCCCCGGAGAGAACAGAACATTTACATATATAATGAAGCGCCTGCTTTTGGCTACCGCACAGCGGCGTGCCGATTCTTTCAGATAAATTGTTCATAAAATGCGTCTTTTGAACAGAGCGGCATTGCGCGGGTGGGGGGTAGGAGGAGGAGGGGGAGGGGGGGGCTGTCGTCGTTAACTTGTTGTGCGCCGTAATCACAACGAATCGCCGCGTCTTGCCGGTGCGGTCGCTGCGAGTGCGACTCGCCGCCGCCGCTGCGTGTGCAAGACAGCCTCGTGCAAAATACTTTGCATTACGGCGGCTTTTTTGTGCATTGTTCTTATTATTTCGTGGCCGTCGCATCGTCGAGCGAAGAAACACCGCGACGATGCTCGTATCGCAAACGCTGTCGGCAGGTGATTTGCTTGAACAAAACTTTTCCGTGCGAGGAATAAGTGCCGTTTGCACGAAACAATGCCTGTCGTACATGTTAACAATCATAATAATTGACACTTTTAAGGCGCCTTTCATCCGGAGGGTCACGAGGCGGCGGTATGGAGTGAAAAACAGAAAAGCGTGCGGGCTCGCACCAACTAAAACCAACCATCAAAAACGAAATTATTCAACATAAATAGAAAAAGCCCTTAAAAGTAAGTGCGTCTGCAAAGGTGGAATGGGAATAAATCGTGGGAGTTAGCAGAGGGAATGTCCAGAAAGGTATTGTGTGTAGTTCCCCTTTTCATCACAGTGTCCACATGAATGTGTTCCCTGTTCCGTAAAGTGACAGCGAAGTTTGGATAGAAATTGTTCCCGTTTCCTAATAGGCGAATTATTTAGGAGTTAATGTGTCGCAATTAATCCGAGGGTAATGGTTCAAACACTTTATACGACAAGATTAAGGGAAGAACAACAAAAAACTAACGAAGGAATGGCATCATATTGGAACACTTTCCCCGCTTGTCAGATTTGGGCCGTAAAAAGAAAGTACGTTTTTATTATATTCATGGGAAGAAAATGTACTTTAATTAAAACAAATGTCCATTCAAAATAGGAAAGAAAACCCCCATTAATTTGCGCTTTAAAATATTATGGAAATGTACAATTACTCAATGTGTTCTTAGCCAGCAGCTGGATTTACAACTTGGACATGGATGTGTGTATTTTTTTTACCAGTGTAAGGGCCACTCAGCTATAGAGCTCTTTTTCAGAAGCAACGTGGCCACAAATGGTGTCTCAACGAAGTGGCTTATCACGTGGAAATTGATCTCGGCCAAATACTCTATGAACGCACGTTGATTCTAAATCTGGTGGGGAAAAAACCCGAGGACCCCGGAGAAAAATCCACGCGACCACGGGGAGTGAGAGAGACACGCAAACTCCGAATATACAGCAGCAGGCGTCAGGGTCGGGATGGAACCCACAACCTCCTCCATACCAGGCGAGGTATTTAACATCTCGCCACATGGATGATGATGAGAGAGAGAGAGAGAGACACGCAAACTCCGAATATACAGCAGGCGTCAGGGTCGGTATCGAAGCCACGACCTCCTGTATACCATGTGAGCTGGTTAACATCTCCGAGCCACCGTGGCGTCCTCTATATATTTATAGTTGCTACTCACTTCGTGCTGTCGTGGTTGCAGTGGGCACCACGCCGGACTCGCAATGCAGAGGTCGCCGGTTCGATTCGTCCGCCCAAGCGGTACGCGATGTGTTCGCCCCACGGTGGGTCGACCGGCACGCGACGGGGGTAAAGTGTGGGCACCCCCACCTCGTCGCTGATGGCCGGGCCAGCTTGCAAGCGCGAGGGCCGACCCACTGAAACATATAAAACCGTTGGGCCAACATCTTGGTTCTTTCGGTGACTTTACGGAAAGAACCAAGAAGATGAATCCCTGCAGTCACGAAAGCTTTAAATCGAAAAATTGGCCCAACGGTTCCAACCACATGCCAACGTTGACCCAACGTCGTGTGCTTGCGGGGAAAAATGCCCCCCCCCCACCCCCGTCCTCCTACCTCTACCTAGATTAGCGTTGACACGTTTCTCGAATTTGAGCACGGCTTTTATTATTGTTGTTATAAGAGCTTTGGAGAGGAGACGGTGGGAGAGGGCATTCCGAAGTGGGACAGATATGGGGTGGGGGGGGATTATTGTTTGCTTATTTGTGTTGTAAGCCATGCCGTTTTGAGAGAGATAGTGAGAGAGTGGCATCAGCATCAGCAGGAGGAGGATCAGGAGGAGCTGGGCTCGTCTCTGCCGTCTCCCCCGGGGTGGCACTGCCCTCTGCTGGTTTGCCACTCGAGTCGCGGGGCTTGGCATTGGCGGGCAGTGGACACGCGGTGGCGCCCCTCCGTGTGCCGTATTCCTCGCGACGAGAACGCCGTTTGCACGCGTGAACTTGCACAATGTTGAACTTGATCATTGTTTTTTTACCCTTTTATCTGGCAACAAAACTGACACCTTTTTTTACAAGGAGCCATGTTTGCATAGACCACAATACCTGCAGTCATAATGCAAACAAAAAAGATAACTCTGATAATGTATGCTCTGTCCTTGAAGTTGATTGGTCCACACCCGAGACAGCTTTCCTTAGAGCCTAGTCTCACATGGGTTGGACCAGATGACGCCAAGGACAGTGCATACATTATCAGAGTTATCTTTTTTGTTGGCATTATGACTGCAGGTATTGTGGTCTATGCAAACATGACTCCTCGTAAAAAAGGTGTCAGTTTTGTTGCCAGATAAAAGGGTATAAACCCAATTATCATATTTTTTACTGGCAAATGAGGTACCAATAATGTTGAACTTCTTTCGTACTGTACGTAGGAGGGGGGGGGGGAACAAATTAAACACAAAACGCAGTTTTAAAGAAATGGCTTCGTCAATCTGGAGCATTTAAAAGTACGTAGCTCCAGTGGCTTCCTATAATGTATTTGTGTTGCATGTACGTTCACCTCTTTTGCACCATAAGGTTATTATCCTAGTACATATGTAGTAGCTACTACATATATGTAGTAGCTACTACATATATGTAGTAGCTACTACATATATACTACATATATGTAGTAGCTACTACATATGAACGTACTACTACTAGTACGTTCACCTCTTTTGCAGCGTAAGGTAGCCAGACTGCTTAATCGGAGGTGCGGCAGTGCCGGATTATCCTAGTGGCAAAAGTAGCTACTACATTCAAGGGCCCCGCGCTAAATGCTTTCAAGCTATCAATTCCGTTTTAGTGATTCTGCACTTGCTCTATTACTATAGTACTATACCGCCTTCCAATTTTAGGAACGACTGGGTGTTTCAGGTTAGCGATTTGTCGTATTATCTGGCTGTGTAGCAAGTTTAAAAATACAATTACATTACTACGCCAGTAAAAAAATAGTGTTAATATATTTACGTGTTTTTATTTTATTTAGGGCCCCTTTATAACATATCCTACAGGCCGCGCACTAGCTTAATCGGGCACTGGGGTGCGGGGGTGAAGGACAACAAACTAAACACAAAAAGCAGTTCTAAAGCAATGAGTTTGTCGATCTGGGTCACAATTGCCAAGCTACAGAGGCTGCCTAATATCGGAAGGAAGAGCGTTCCAGACGGCCGCAGAAGCGCATCTGCAAGCATGCGATGCAGTAAGACCACCTTTGTTGCATCGCTGTGACCGTGTAAAAATGTTTTGCTTTTATTTTTTTTATCCCGAAGTTTAATTTGATTTAACACTTAATAATTTCAACTTGTATCCACTGTGTTCATATATGCGAATAAGCGAACATAAGTGGAACTTTACCATGCGTATTCACCTATAAAAATAATAATAGTACAGACCATCAGCCTATCTTTTGGCTTTTCGGACCAATGTTATCGAACCGAAATTGTTCAAGCAAGCAATTCAACTTGAACGCTGCATTTTGTATATCTGTCCGGTATGCATCTGCTTGTGTATTCGTGGGAGTGGTGGTGTAGCGGTTAGCGCTACGCTGCGCTACGAACCTGGCGACCCGGATTCGATTCCCGCTCACGGCCAACATCAGTGATGATGATCTGAACATGTCCTGGGCCTCCCCTAGGTCGACTCAGCCTCAAATGAGTACCTGGTGCGATGTGTAAACATCCCCGCTAGGGAGACAAAGGCGGCCGGACGTGGTGTTGGCCACCCATTCCCTCGTGCGTCGTGCCGGCCTTGAAAGGTGTTTGCTCACAGCACTTGCCCCAAAAGCCTTTGTAACCTATGTGGGGGATATTTGTCTTTGTCGTTTTCTCAGCATCCATACCCCACAGAGGACGAGAAGAGGCAGATTGCCGCCCAGACGAATCTCACCCTCCTCCAGGTCAACAACTGGTGAATTCCGCAATCACACACACAGCATCGGGTCGTCGTCATTCACCACTAACTGACTCGTCACCCCGATGGCCAGTGGTCGAGACGAACGAGAGAGTTTGGCTTCGCTTGTGCCAGGCTAGGTGCACTTTGAGTCCACGTCAAGTTGTTGTAAACCATGCCGCTACGGTGACGAGATGTGAACTACCTCGCCTGGTATACAGGAGGTCGTGGCTTCGATCCCGACCCTGACGCCTGCTGTATAGTTGGAGTTTGCGGTGTCTCTCTCCCTGTGGTCACGTGGATTTTTCTCCGTGTCCTCCAGTTTTTCGCTCCACATTTAGAATCAACGTGCGTTTTTAATATTTGGTTGTTGTAAGTTTCATCATGATAAGCCACGTAGTTGAGCTATCATTTGTGGCCAGGTCGCTTCTGAAAAAGAGCTACATAGCTCAGTCGGCCTTACCTGGTACAATAAAAATAGTTAAAAGATGTTTTAGTTTAAGTGTCGAAGGTTTGCTGGCAGAAGGTCAAGATACAGGTGTGCAGGTGTTCTGGGTTAACTGAATGGCATGACTGGTAGATGCACCACCTGTTTCTCCACACCGTGCCACCCGGCGCTCTGCTCATTGTGACAGGTGGCTGCCTCCAGCGGCCTAGCAGCATCCTCCACAAATCGTGCGCATACCCCAACTTGCAACGCATACGCCCCACACACATCTGATCCTTCAATCACCCGAAAAACTGCGCTCCGAAACGTATTTATTTGGTGACAATCAAGCGTGAGGGTGTGCGTTGCATCTGTCGTCGTCCGCCGTGATAAATCCACTGCTGGATGGAGGCCTTTGAATGTTGAGGTCCTGCGCACGAGCTGATCCGACCGCTCCATCGTCCGCGTCTTCCATCGTTTGGCCACCGCTCCGTCGTACGTCCCGACCACCGGCCATCGCTCCCCCCCCCCATACTAACTTTTCCTGAATCACCGGTATCTCCAACTTTGCTCTCCCCTCCACCCGCCTCTCGCCGTCGTTCTACGTGGACGCGCGCCGCCCTGACCTGAACCCCCAACCTCCCGTCGCGGCAGGTTCATCAACGCTCGCCGGCGAATCCTGCAGCCGATGCTCGACGCTGGCAACACAAGCGGCGGAAATCCGGCTGGGAATTCCGTCGGGAATGCCACCGGAAATCCGGAGGGAGGTCCCGCCGGGTGCGGGAGAGGGAGGAGAGGCAAGGCGGCACCCAGAGCCTTGCTCAGGTGGGCGGTTGATGATTAACCCTTTCCCGTTCAAAGACGTCCGCCGAATCACGGAACGCGCAAACGGTTAACGTTTATTTTATTACGATAGGCTTAGCGCCTTTATTTTTTCAAAACATTGTACTGACCGCAGAAAACTGTAATGACACAACCGCAGCCTTTGATAGCTGGGGCCAAACTGTGCCACACGCCTTCCCGCACGGCCTTGTGGGAGCCTCGGTACCGATACAATTATTTTACTTCAGTTTTTCTTCTGGAATCGGAAGAAAAGTTTTTTTGTCCCCGATTTGGAATCAGAAGAAAAACTGATATAATGTACACGTACATCATCGGATTAGGAATGGGTCAATATACCGATTCATAGGATTCATGAATAGCCACACCCTGCCACGCGTTATCGGCTACCACGGCGCCCTCCACCCAAGGGGGCGGTTACCGTGTGCACAGCGGCTCATTCTTGTGCTGTATTCTTCGGATAATGAGAAGCTCCGGAAAGTAAGACCTCACCCCAAGACTTCGGGGTGCTGTTAGCGAGCACTTATGAAGGTCAGCATGGGACATGAGGGGGATGGGTGGCCAGCACCATGCCCGGCAACCTTTATCTCCACAGTGGCGATGTCTACACACCGGACCAGGTACTGTCCTCATTTGAGGCTGAGTTGACCTAGGGGAGGCCCAAGGCCGGTTCAGATAATCGTCACTGGTGTTGGCTGTGAGCAGGAATCGAACTCAGGTCACTGGGTTCGTAGCGCAGCTCGCTAACTGCTGCACTACCGCTCCGCCAAACATATCTCGCACACACTCGTATATACTTGCCAAGAAAAAACTATCACTTATTTATGTGAACTATTTATGGAAGGACTGGGTTTTTTTATTCATGTATATGGTACCGTTCAGTATTGCTCTGAGTGATGTCTCTGCACGTTCATCATTTATGGGACACGCTCGGTTTGCTTGAGGTATATATTTTTCCTTTAAAAATAATTGGTTAAATTACTAAACTAGAATATGCGCGTACTGCGAAACGCACTGGTCGCAGGAAGGCCCGCAATTCCACGGAGCGCTTTTCATCCGCGCTTACGAGCTCCAGAGACAAAAGTGTTTTATCGCGTGCGTTTAATGCGACCGTGATTCCCGTGGATTTTTTTCCCCATTGGGTTTCGGACCGGTTGGCAGAGTCGGCCGTACGTCTTCGCGAAATAACGGCGTTCGCTTTGAAATGCGGTGCACGGCGCCCGTTGCCGGCCAGAGGGGGGGGGGGGTGGGGGGAATGGGGGTGGTGAGGTTTTAAAACGGAGAATTCCGCAAAACCCCCGAGACCGATCGAATAATTTGCACACCCACCCTGAGAGAATAATTGTCAAGAGCAATTATAAACTATTTTTCTCAAAATCTCAAACCCGTACATCCCAGCCAGCCGGCAAAACTTTCTTGTTTTATTTGTTTAAAGAGCCCTCTATCTTTCCACCTTTAAATTGCCTTCTCTGTGCTATATATCGCAATTTATCGCTATTTCTCACTTTGTCTCTGTTTCTATCCGTTTCTCAATTCCTCTGACCCATCACGTCCCTCCAATGCTTCTGACCCTCTTCCCTCTCCCCACCCCTCTCCCCGCATCTCTCACCTTTCGCCCTCGCTCTCCTTATTCTCTCATCTCTCCCTTTCCCGCTAATCTCTCTTGGTTGTCGCTTTCCCTCGCTGTCTGTCTCTCTCTTTCCGTTTTGCTCTCTCTTTCCTCTCCGTGCCATGCCCTTTCACTCTCTCCCCCCCGCCCCTCTACTCTCCATCTCTTGCTCCCTCCTCTATCTCCCACTCTCACCTCCCTCTAATATTTGTTCTAATATAGTGCGGTATAATAGTGAGGGTATGATGATGTAATAGCATGGTAGAGTATAGAGTAATCCTAGAATAATATGAGTGTACAAAATAAGTTCAAATTCCAATCCGAATAAACACACTAATTCATGTATCTCTCATCCCTGTCTTGTCTGTGCAGCATCCCTCTCATGTGACTTCATCTCTCCCTTGTCCGCATCTCATCTTACCGCATCTGTCTCATTTGTATCTCCCTTCCCATCTCACTATAGCTTTATCCCTCGTCAGTATCTCTTCTCTCATCTCACAGGGAATATATACATCGAGAGAGGTGGGGGGGGGGGCGGGGAGTCGGGGTCCCTCCAAAAGTAATTTATAGGAACGGCGGGGAGGGGGGGCCTTTTTGGGGGGCCCACACCACCAGCAGCTGCCGGCGCTGCAACGCTTTTTCTTCATGTCGGTCTCTTCTCCCCCGCCCCCCCCCCCCCCCCCCCGCCAGGTTCTGGCCGGAGCAACTGGCGTCGACGGGAGCGACGGGAGAAGCGGAGGCGAGGAGACTCCTTCAGCGGTCGGGATCGAACGCTGACGGTACCGACGGGGACGCGGGGCGTAGGGGGTGTGGGTGGCTGGGGGCGGGGCGGGGGGGGGGGCAACACCCACCCAGCAGGCCCCCACGTGCGTTCCCGTGCGGCGAGCGCTCGCTAGGGACCGACACATCCTCCGGGGGGCTCCTCTGCGTTCCTCGATTTCAACGTTTAGCTGCCAGCTCCTGCAACTCGAATCTTTTGAAGTCCAATGTGAACACACGTTTGTTTGCATTGGTACTGGTAGGAACCTCCTGGTTACACCAGCCCACAGGGGATTATTGTGTCCATCCGTCGTGCAGGGAGGGGGTGGGGAGGGAGGGGTTGGGTGGGGAGGGGAGGGTGGGGAGGGGCTGGGTGGGGAGTGTGGCGAGGGGAGGGTGGGGAGGGTGGGGAGGGTGGAGCTGGGTGGGGTGGGGAGGGGCTGAGTGGGGAGGGTGGAGCTGGGTGGGGAGGGGCTGGTCACCCCGTGGTGCCCTTATAAAACTCAACGTTTAACGTACTCACGCCGGCTTGTGCCCGCCCTCACAGTCGGGCATATTTGCGGAATACACCACGCCGCCGTTGACCCTGGCCATTGACCGAGTAACCCAACGTTCCTACCAGCTTCCCCCCGCAGGAATGTGTTTTATCCTTGAGTGGGAATGGGTTGGCCAGTGTATTTGCCTTATTGTATTTAGTTATTGTGCAGACAAGTGTTTTTAATTTATTTTAATTTAAACAGCCCTGGGGTGCCGTACCATGGGGAGTGCGACGTAATCCCAAATTCTTTACAATGGTGACGGAGTGGCAGCCAAGGAACAGACCGGGTGCACTGGGGAGATGGAGCAATGACATCACTTCGTGCGCGGGTGCCGGGTAGATTATTACAACGCAGAATTGTGGGGATGTGACGGTGGCTGCGGGAGGCCTTCATCCAGCCGTGGATCGAGCGTGGCTGAATCCCGATTCACTTACTTTCTCATCGTGTTTGGTTGCCTACCCTGGGGTTGCAGGAGAACAGTTTTAAGAACGGCGATTCAATCTTTATAGCGCACCTCTACTTGTGAAAACTTACTCCCCGTACAATTTACTCTCATAGCGATAATAAATAATATAGATTTAATCACTGGTGTGTGCAATCTGTTGCAAAAAAAAAAAGACTCGCGGTCTCACATGAGTTCTCGGTTACAAAAATGGTGTTTATATCGATTGAAATTTCAACGATAATGACCGTGCAAATTGATACTCATGGACATTACATGTTTATCCTTAAACGAAAATATTAATCTTGGAGAGAAGCTGCGTTAGATATAATCAATTCGCCACGAATCGTTTCATTTCTAAGAACGCGCCGATGCAACACGTGGACGTTTCCCGCGGCCGCCGAGTTTTTTTTTGTTTTTCCCCGTGTCGGGGCTGCGTGATGAGCGTCTCTTCTCTCAAGCTCTCGCCACGCACAACTGCGGGCATCTCCAGGCGTTCACAATCAGAATCGGAGAAACTATTTAAACCTGGTAAGATAGAAAAAGAATATTCTTAAGTTTTTTCGGTAAAGTCACGTAGGTAAAACATTAAAATTAATAAAAGTAAAATAAAATAAAAATCACGACGTTTCGGAGGCAACACAAGCTTCCGTCTTCAGGTGGAACCGTCACAGCCACGACAGCTGTATCAAGTAAATGAGAGATTGCAGGAGCTACCACTCCGTTTATATAATAGTTGGAGAGGGGGGAAGGGCCAAGTACAGGCTCACCCTCTTAAGCCTCACCTTACCATATGAATAAAAAGTGTGCTGTACTTGGCCCTTCCCCCCTCTCCAACCATTATATAAACGGAGTGGTAGCTCCTGCAATCTCTCATTTACTTGATACAGCTGTCGTGGCTGTGACGGTTCCACCTGAAGACGGAAGCTTGTGTTGCCTCCGAAACGTCGTGATTTTTATTTTATTTTACTTTGATTAATTTTAATGTTTTACCTACGTGACTTTACCGAAAAAAACCTAAGAATATGAATCCTTGCAGTCACGAAAGCTTCAAATCTAGAAGAAAAAGAATAGTTTAAGGTTTTTTTTATGTACACATTCTAAGCGATTCGCTTACCTTTTCCCGTGCTTTGCCGCTGCGCGCGTTGTGCCCAGGTGGCGACGGGCACGCCACGGGGGGCGACCCGAGCGAGCCCCCCTTCCCACGCCCGGGCTCCAGCGTCGGCTACGGCGCCGATGACTCCCAGGACGGCACCGACGATGACGGCGGCGGCGGCGACGACGACGACGACGATGAGGGCAGCAGCGGCACCGCTCACGACCTCACGCTCGCCGGCTGTCCGTCCCCCGATTAGCGCCCTCTGCCTGTACCCTCCACCAGTACCCTCCACCACCACCCAACTCCTCCCACTCCCCCCCCCATTGCTGCAACGAGTCAAGATAGTACTCCCGGAAGTGGCGGCGGGGGGAGGGGGGGTGGGCCTCATTTCCAATTTAGTTTATTTAAATTTGAGTTTCAAAAAAAATGGAGGGCTCCTTAATTAGCCCCAGCCAGTGTGACGCCGCTCTGATGTCATCACGGGCGGATGTTACTCGGCAGTAGTCACGGCGACGGCCAGTGTCATGTTGAAGTATGTACATTGCGAGAGAGAAAAGTGTGTAAAATGAAACGTTTGAAGCTTCTTTTGTTTCGAGGGTTCGTGACCCTCAGCGTTTAGCATCTTTGACACATTTATGAGGTACCTAGCACGCTACAGTGGTCATTGAAGAATTACCATTGGTTTGTACATAATGGACTCCTCCGTCAATCACATGCAAGCTTTTTGTGCTTTATAAATATGTTGCTTTGTAAACATGTTCTGTAACGAAATGCAGGATAATGTGCATGATTTATATATTTTTTATGACGAGTCTGATTGGCTCAGGTATGTCACGTGGTCACAAAAGGGTGCCCTACCGCCTGATTGGCCGTGCGTGTGATCCTGACCTTGTGACCTTTGCCCATGTTTTGGGAGTTGTGTCGTGGGTTCGAACTTAGCCCTTGAGCCATTGGCCCAAATTTGGCTTTTCAGTGACACTCAGGGTGGCAAATGCTGACTTTGATTTTCGTGAAGAGTTGTATCTCTACATTACAAATGCATCTAATAGTAAGGTCACCATGGTAACTGTTTATGATTAAAAAAAAAGGTCATTAAGGAGAGGTATCCGAGTATGTTTGACAGAGAACATTGTTTTGGAGAATATTTGTTTTAATATATATAAAGCATCTATGGAATATTAACACGAAGCATGTGCATATAAAACAAACGGTATACATCAGTGTTCTTCACTCATTTTCAGTGGGGGGGGGGTCCACTTTCGCTGATAAGACATCATCAGTGCCAGGGCCGCCACACCATTTGAAACCACTGGGGGGTTTTGACAGCAGCATGATGATGATGGGGTGTAAATTTCGATTTAAAGCTTTCGTGACTGCAGGGATTCATCTTCTTGGTTCTTTCGGTAAAGTCACGTAGAAGGAAAATAATAAAATAATAAAAATAAAACATAATAAATAATTCAGATGCGTCTTCAGACTCTGTCTTCCCGACAGACCTGTTCTTCACCGGAGGACGACTGCTTGCGTTGTGGCCGAAACGTCGTGAGAATTATTTTATTATGTTTTATTATTTCCCTTCTACGTGACTTTACCGAAAGAACCAAGAAGATGATGGGATGTGTTTACAAATTTGACTGTTGTCGGGGGGTGCACGTCAGGGGCCGCACTAAAGGCCATCAGGGGCCGCCAGTGGCCCGCGGGCCTTGTAATGAAGAACACTTACATCTGCTCAGCTGGATACCGGTAGTACTTGTCACCTCAGGCGGTACCGACCAACCTCCTTGGCTCATGGGCAAACGGAATTGGTTGTCCAAGTGCGGTGATCCGGGTCAGGCTGCGAGTTGAACATTTCTTCTCTGGAGCTTTCGCGACGCACCACTGTGGGGCACCTTTCAGGTCAACTTGAAGGCAACATCTCGCAGCGGTGGCGAGATGTTAACTCCCTCGCCGAGTATGCAGGAGGTCGTGGGTTTAAATCCCGACCCGGACGACTGTATATTTGGAGTTTGTATGCTCTCCCTGTGGTCGCGTGTATTTTTCTCCAGGTCCTCCGGTTTTTCCCTCCACATTTAGAATCGACACGCTGCTATAAATGTCCACGTGATAAGCCACTTCGTTGAGGCATTATTTGTGGTCAGGTCGCTTCTGAAAAATAGCTCCATAGCTCAGTGGGCCTTAGCTGGTAAAAAAAAAAAGTTTAGTTTTAACTCCTGTAGATACCCACAATAGCTCGTGGCAAAAGCTCGAGAGAAGAAATGGTCAACGTACTTGCAGCCTGACCTGGAACACCACACTCGGACTTGTGGGGGAAGGCCACATTTTAACGGCCTATCTCCGATGCGTTTCCTGGTTGCATTTCGTGTTGTTTGGCGCGACGACGTCCGGCGTTTCGCCCCACGTCACGGCATCCTCTTTGGGAATGTTTGTTTTAAGTTCAGGAACCGAAGAAGCTCCTCCCGAAACGTCCGGGACATCCGCACCGAAGGAAAAACGCGCGGCCACGAACGGAACGAACGCGAGAGCGGCTGCTAGGACCTTCGCGTTCAGTGGAACCGTCGGTTTCCGCCGCTCTCCGCCCTGACCGGACGTCTGTCCCTCCGCTCGCGCAACGCTCCCCGAGAAAGCGCTCGAACTCGCGGCGTTCGTGACGACGCGGCGGGGGTGGGGGACATTTAAACTCGTGCGGGGAGTGGAGGGAGAAGGGGTCGGACGACTCCTCCGCGCATCTCTCAACTTTTGCTGCACGTAGAGAGACGAGAGACGCGCCAGCCCCCCGCCCCCCCCACCGGTGAACTGTTGCGAAAGCGCGAGTGGCCACCCGCAGCACTTGTTGTTTGACGATGAAGAATGGCGGATGTTTCGGAAGGTTCGAGAGACGCATTTGACATCGTGTCGGCTGAAGGGATGAAGAGACTATGCATGCTATGGCGGGATGTGCGATGTAACATGCTGTGCTTGGTTTTTTCCTTTCTACGACAAATTAGACGTTTCTTTTTTTTGATATGTGTATGTATAACTGGTGTAAGATACGTTGGCACAAGATGATGCGGCATTCAGCAAATCTAGAGAACTCTTTAGGAGCAAAATGGGATCCCTCAGAACTACGTCCCGTCTGTAGTTGGAAAGGACGAGATGGCGTTGACGCGACAAAACGACGCTGACGCAACGCGGACGCACGTGCGTCACTTGGAAGACCCCACGCGGCAAGATTGCGGTGTCATTTGGAAACGCGACGTGGCTCTGCCTGGTGCGTCAAGGCGCATCTGACGGAGATTCTGTGACCCGTAATTCATCATAGAGGTTTTTTGGGGGTTATATCGCGTAAATATATAAATGCGTCGTTTAAACCCGCCACCACCTGACACAGCCAACTAGTAAGGGTTGTCACGTCAATAGAACGTGGCCAATTCGTCACTAGTACAGCACACCGGTGTGTTGGAGAGCCAAGCCACAAGGCTTACAATCTGAGTACGACGTGTTGCCAGTAGTTACAACTCGCTTCATCAGGCAACAACCAGATTTGCTTCATCAGGCAACAGCCAGATTTCTGTGACCGCTGACTTAACGCGCCTTGTTGTTGTGGTTTTTCTTTCCGCACAAGAAGACGTTTCGTGTGCCCCGCGAGGCTCGCGAGGCTCGCGCGAAGAAAGCCGCTTGTCTCTTTTGGTTTAAAAAAAAAAAACCCGCGACTTGTTTTTTTTCCGGTGTCGCCGAGCACCACTCGTTTCGCCGTTGCATCCGATGATTCCTCCGAGTGCCAGGGAGCTTCTCGGCGGAGGGGGGAGGGACGACGTCTCCGCTTCGGACGCCCAAGAAGCTCCCGGCGCTCGGGGACGAAACGTCGGACGCCGCCGCCGAAACGACGGACGGGCGGCGCGACGCGAAAAAAACACGGCGGGCGATGCGATGCGATGCAACACAGCCGCGAAGAGGCAGCGTGGCGAAATACTCGGATGGAAAATTGAGAGCGTCGAGATCGTGCGCGCTCCAGTTTTTCTTAAGTTCGCGAATTGTTAGCGTTGTGCTTCTGTGCACGATAATCGGTGTGCAGATCTTCTCGTGCACTGCCATTACGGACACGTACGTGCATGCAGCTCCTTCGTCAGGAGTCAGTCACAGCATTACGGACGTTTTGGGAATATACGAACATACTTCGCCGGACTGGTCGGCACGCGGGTTGGTGAAAGGCGGGGGAGCATGTGGAAATGGGAGCATAGAAGTACAGTACAGTTGTGTATTTTGCTGCACACCTCCAATCTGTGCCCCCACCACATGTTACAGTCTCGTCCTGTACGTTGACAGTTATTCGTGTTTGAAGACATTCTCGGAATCCAACGTTTCCCCGTGGTCAGAAAACGTTTCCTCGTGCTATTACAAGGACAATTGCGTGGAGACAAATTGCACACAACTTTCCAAATGTGCAGCATCTGCCCCGCTGGGCCACCATGAGCTGCCAATGCTGTAATGATTCTCAGTCGTGTAAGCTCAACAGCTTTAATTGGATTGATTTGCCGCTTTTATAATTTACTGTGTGCCACGTGGGTGACACGTGGAAACATGAGAGCATTCTTGTTTTTTTTTTTACACATATATTATAAGTCGTTAAGTTGGGCTTGTAATGTTGTTACGTTGAGTATTTATTTTGTCGCCAATTTTCTAAGTTTGTAGAAAAATGTGTGAATGGTTTTCTTTTTGCGTGTTACGCCTGCCCATACGGTCTGGTTCGGTTTTTAATTTGTTGTCCTTGGAGCTGCCACAACCCCCTCTCGCTCCCTCCCTCGATGGCAGAGGTCGCAACCGGGTACCCAATACCTGATACCCGTATCCTACCCGATACCCGGGTAGCCATTTGCGACCCTGGTGCGGCCGGGTACGGGTACGGGTAGGCCGTGAGTCACTGGTGAGTAACCATTTGTCACTCATTTCGGGTAGGGTACGGGTTCGGGTATGGAACGGCTACCCGTACCCAGCCGGGTACGGGTACCCATTTGCGACCCTGGTGCGGCTGGGTACGGGTAAGGAATCAAACCCCGTTTGCGACCTCTGGTCTATGGCCTTCAACACCCTTGTTGATTCCAGGCATTCGCAAAAGCCACCGAGAATGCAGTGGGCTCAGTGCCTCGTCTTTCCAACTTGCGCAGTCGGGGCAGCGTTGCTCACCAAATGGGAACCATCGCAGCCACAATCGCCGTAGCGATCTCCGGGCGAAGGGGGGAGTCGGTGACCAAAATAACAAGATGAGACATTTTTTTCGAATTCGGTAAAAAAAATTTTTATTCATATTTCAAGGCCCACAATACGTCTGCATACGAGAGGCGTTGGTCCTTAATAAATAACGGGTCACGAGACGGTCCTTTTTAAATAGCCGCGTGCGGCTGTGCCGAAGCCCTCTCCGAATGTTTAAGTAAAAACATTGTTGGGCTTGCGTCTCGTAGTCCGGAGAAGGACACTTGCGTCTTCCGGGGCGGTGTGTGCCGCTTTACTCTCGTCAAGAATCTTCCCGCAAGATCTGTCGCATTTTGGTTATGAGGATCGTCCTCCCTGAAGACGTTTTCTCCAACTCAATCCGTGACCAGCCTCGGGTGCAGAAGGGGACCGCCCGCTCGCTGGCCGCCGTTCGAAATCATCTTCTACAAGATACCACCATCTCCCCCCGTGTTAAAGCGGCGCGTTTGTCCATCATCCTCTGGATGGCAGAGCCCCCTGGTAGCAGTGTCGCGTGCATTCTTCCCGAAATATAAAACACACACGCTTTGTTTTCAAAATGAGTCCAAGATATTTTGGGGAGAGTCTTTCCGAAGTTGTGTTGCAATGTGGAGAATACGATCAACTTTACCAATTTTTTTAAACAAACGATGTAAATGATTGTTCGTCCGTATCGTTAATTAATGGTGGATTCAAGAGGCTAAATGCTTTGTGCTTTTGAAAGATTTCATTTCCCCTGTTTGATAAAGCTGTTTTGGAATTCCATCCGATTGGACCGCGATGTTAATGGATAAGTCGCCGTAAAAAAAAAATTTCCACGTGAAAAGTAAAACGACGGAGCAGTCCTCCACACGATGAAGGGACGAAAATAAAACGCCAGAGGCTGAGGATAAGCACAAAGTGATCGGGGTCTGGTTCCCGTTCCGTTGGAGAGAGGTTACGCAAACTCTGAGCGAGGAAAAAAATCTGCTGTGCTCTGCTCAGAAAAAGAAAGTGTGATCAGAGAAATGTGTTGGCGTGTTTGTTTTTGTTGCTTGCACTACTTTGCGGTGGGGTTAGGAAATCCAGCAGTGGAGTTACACTCCAACATGCAGCCAACTTTGGCCTAACGTTCATTTACAAACGATAGCCAGAACAGAAAAAAGGTAAGCGGCTGATCTTACGATTACAAAAATAATTTTCGTGTTCGCTTGACGATGGTGTACTGTCAAAAGTTTTGGTGTTTTCTGAGACTTGTTTCGATATGCTGTAAAAGTAATCTGGTGCCCGTGTCACGCTCATTTTCCAAGCACACATTTAAAATGTGAAAACTTCTTCGAGTTTTGCGAAAGAAAATAAAAAAAACGCGTTTTGCACTTGCAGCATGTAAAGTTTTAAAATTGCAAAGTGCAAAAAGGTTAAATAAAATTTGTTTACAAAAGTTTACATATATACGCAGTAAAAATATATTTTGACCGATTTCATTCCCGTATATGCTATGGTTCTCAGTAACTTGGTATGTTCGCAAATCCCAGCACTCTCCCCCCTCCCCCCCCCCCCACCTTAAGATCCAGATAAAAATAAATACGGCAAGTACTCTACTGTTACTGTTATCAGGAACCAAACTCTATGCTGGTCTTGATGATTTGTCGATTTGTAACGCGGGCGTGAGACTCTGATCTCATTAGGAGTGGATCGTTCAAATGGCTTCCTTTTTAAATCCTTTATATTAAGTTCACTTGCTTGCACGCTTATGACCGTGCAAATCTTTCGGTCGTTTTTTAACCCACTTCCCGTGATCCAATCGAGCTGACATTTTGCACACAGACTCGTTGTGCATGACAATTTATTTTCGTTAACATTTTTTTCCAAAATTTTACACTATTTAGGAAAAAATAAATTATATATAATTACCAATTGCTTAATGGTGGCAGGCAATCATCTGACCCATAGGTGGCAGCCTTCTCAAGCCAGAGGACGAGAGGACTCTAGCCGCCACGCATATAAAGGATTTATAGTGAAAAACTTTGTTTTTACGGGTTAATTTTTTTGGTAAACGCGCTTTCCACCCCCGAAACTTGTTGTTTTCCGCCGATCTGGTCAGATTTCTCCTCGGTCTGTCATACCTTCTTCCGATGACACTCACTCTCACCATCCTTCGACCTGACACTCGGCCTGTAAGTGCCCGTTAGGTCCGTGAGCCCCAGACCAAATATTTAACTTTGTCGGTACTCGTGGCATGACTGAAGAGGTTTCAACATCTTCACGGCCAACAGCACACAAATTGGGTGATGGCCATACTCTTAGTTCTTTCGGTAAAGTCACGTAGGTAAAAAAATTAAATTAAAAATTAAACAATAAAACAATAAAATCACGACGTTTCGGAGGCAACACAAGTCTCTGTCATCAGGTGGGACCGTCACAGCCAGATTTGCTGCATCAAGTGAGGCAGGGATTCAAGATGCAAGCTCTTAAATACAAGTTAAGGGGGAGGGGAGGGGGGAGGAGCTTATCAGAATGTGGTAGCCAATGAATGGAACGTATCTGGAGGGGGGGGCGGGGCTAAAAGAGGACACGAGGTACTCGTGGGCGTCGTCGACGTGTTTGTACGCAAGTCACTGTGGATACACATGATAGAAAAGAAACGAAAATGCCCATATGTATACCAGTGTTGGCTGACAGTAGAGTTCTGTTAAACGCTGGGGATGTTAACACTCGGTAAAGTAAATTTAATTTCATTTTTTTACCTACGTGACTTTACCGAAATAACTAAGAGTATGAATCATTGCAGTCACGAAAGCTTCAAATCTAGAATGGGTGATTGCCGTCTCAAATGAGTGGGCTATTGCATAAGCCACTCATTAGCCACACAAATACATCGACACTCCTGAAGCGTTTGGCTGCCTTAGGTGGCAATGATCTCTGCTTTGGCCCATGGACTTCGTTTTGCTACACAACTTAAAAAACCAGGCACGGTGAAAAGAATGGCAAACGGCAGGTGTCAAAGGGTCAATGATACGCTCTGATACGTACATTTCCCCTGTTTGATAAACTATGAGAATCTCTGACTTTCGCTGCGTGTGAGACGTCAACTCCCCAGTATTTGCATTCGTTCTCGAAGAGACATATTTGGCAGATGCCACTGTAGCAGACTAAGGGAGGCACAACAGCATAATTACACCATAAAAATGTATATTTAAAGTTAATAAACTCACAGAGCCGTGAATTACTGTGAATTGTGAGATTGGAGGGGACTATAAGAGAGAGAGAGAGAGACGGGGGTGGGGTGGTGGCGGCATTATTTTGTTTCTAACGGGAAGAGCGAGATTGGGAACTGCTCCAGAGAGAATGAGTCCAAATTGGATCCAGACCCAGTGTAGGCAAACGTGTTATTTTGGAGCCAGACGTCTGGGTTTCGTGTCTTGTTTTTCATTCTCACCTAATTCGTTGAGACTTTTAATTGCAAGCCAGTGAACAGCGCCAACGAGAAGGTGGGTGACGCCGAGGGTGGGCTACAGCGAAGGTGGGTGACACCGAGGGTGGACAGCGAGGGTCTAGCGTTGGATGCTGCACGTTAACTGGACATTGTCGAAGTTGGAGACGCCAAGACACGGACTCTTGTCCACCTGCGACTGGACATGCAAAGATGCCTCGCCCTTTGCCAGTCGTGGCTGCTGGTAAAGTCGACACATTCGCGGTGTGTTGCCATGGCGATTTGTTTAATTGACAGCTGAAATAAATTATGCTCACGATTGCCCTGCCTATATATATTATTGGAACCTCATTTACCGGGTGTGGACCAATCAACTTCAATGACAGTGCATATATGATCAGTTATGTTTTTTGTTTGCATTATGGCTGCAGGTATTGTGGTCTATGCAAACATGACTCCTTGTAAAAAAGGTGTCAGTTTTGTTGCCAGATAGAAGGGTGAACAACCAATTATATTTTGTTTCTCTACATTTTCCTTCTCTCTCCGCTTTATGGAAAGGTTGGTACACCAACGTCTCGCGTGACACCAGCAGATGGCTCTGGTGCTCTGCGTTGTGCCTCCAAGTCGTGGCATCGAGCTTTTAGTTGTTTTACTAATTGTTTTATTTTACCTGGCTATCACAAATGATAGCTCAACGAAGTGGCTCATCATCTCGTGAAAATGTATAGCAGCCAAATACTCGAAACGCGTGTCGATTCTAAATGTGGAGGGAATATAACCGGAGGATCCCGAGAAAAATCCACGCGACCACGGGGAGAACATGCAAACTCCAACTATACAGCAGGCGTCAGGGTCGGGATCGAACCCACGACCTCCTGCATACCAAGCGAGGTAGTTAACATCTCACCATCGTCACGTCATTGGTCTCAAAGGTTCCACTAAACTCCAGTCCCCGTAAATTTTCCGCCCCTCCCATCCAAATATAAATTTACTGGTTCCACGCGTTACGCGCCTGATGATTGTTAAACGTCCCACGTGACGCCGTAAGCAATTGTCGCCTGCGTCGCGTTGAACGCGTGCATCTACCATGGGTGGGAAAAAACCCCGATTTTTCCAGCGGTAGGCATCGGGTTTTTTCTTTAATACAATTAAACCCGATTTCGGGGAATTAAAACCTCGTTTAATGAATACGATACTCTGATCCAAGGCTTAGGCTGCTTCCTCGTCGGTGCTGCTATCGTACTCGGGGGGGGGGGGGGGGGGGGGGCGTCGGGCACGGGGTAGTCGTAGAATGCGGCGGGCAGGTTGGTCTTGATGAACACGAGCTTCTCCTCCACAATCGTGGGCGCCAGTGAGTTCCTTAGCTTGGAATGGATGAAGCCCATCGTCGAGAAGTGCGGTTCTGCAATTAGAACCAATTAAACCGGATTTCTCCCAATCTCAGATGATCGGGTTTAATATAAAAAGGCAATTAAACCCGATTGTAAAAAACTCGACTGTGCCATCCTTGGTGCACACGCACACTGAGATCCCAAACGCAGACTCTTAATCGCTTACCGCATCACGTGAGTCGTGTTTAACAATCATCGGTCGCGTAGAACGAGTTGATTTGAATTGGGAGGAGTGAATTGTCAAACGCGGAAAGACGAAGCGTGGCGCCTCTCGAGGACTCGAGTTTAGTAAACCCTGTTGTCGGTGCCTCGTGGGGGTTTGTTTAACTCCCCTCTATAGCAGCGTCCTTCATCGCAAGGTCCACAGGTCACTATTAGTGGGCCCTGGTGACCTTTAGTGTGGCCCCTGACAATACACAACGCGTGACAACAACCCCTCATCATCATCGTGCTGTCAAACCCCCAATGGGGTTACAAATGTGTGGCAGTCGTCACACTGAAAGTGGCCTCCCCCATTAATGCTTAGTAAAGAACACTGCCTTCGAGTTTGCTAGACCAAACTCGCCCCTGAAAGAGGATCGTGGAATTTCCACCGCCGGTTTAAATCCGTAAATCGATGAGCACTGCCTCAATGTTCATTTGGGCAGGAAACTACTTTTTTTAAATTAAGGTATCGGCAGTATTAGTTGCAGTGTGCAGGATGTTTATGTTACGTGGTTCCACTATCAAATCTTATCAGTGGCGATGTCTGCCTTCACGCCGTTTGTTGTTTCATGGACCTCTCCAGGATTTCAAGCTGTCTCGTTATCAATGGGAGCACAGTCTGGCGAGAGACACTCATACTGGTAGTAACCACCTGGTTCCACCAGCCCACAGGGGATTATTGTGTCCGTCCGTCGTGCATCCAAAAATGGGCAGGGGTCGGGCTGGGTGGAGAGGGGAGGGTGGGGAGGGGCTGGGTGGGGAGGAGCTGGGTGGGAGGGGTGGGGCTGGGTGGGGAGGGGCTGGTCACCCCATGGTGCCCTTATAAAACTCAACGTTTAACCTACTCACGCCGGCTTGTGCCTACCCTCACAGTCGGCCATATTTGCGGAATACACCACGACGCCGTTAACCCTGGCCATTCACCGAGCAACCTAACGTTCCTACCAGCTCCCTCCGCAGGAATGTGTTTAAACTAGGGTCATCGCCTGAAACGTTTGCTACTAGGTGGTGCTTTCTTGTTCATCGTCAACGGGATTTGCATGCGCGACAATCGTTGTGGTGATGGCCATCCATCTCCTGTTCACAGGTCTTGAGCCGATATTGTAAATTCCTGATTCCCGTGGCGGGGGTCAGTATCGATAAGGCGACCACTTTTGACTTCCCCACCTCAGTGGTACGGATTGTATCGACCCTGGTGGGATGGTGGGCTGAATCGACTCTCATCCAGGATTCGAACTCGGCAATTCCGACTGCGAGTCGCTCGTTCCACCGCCTGTGCCATTGATGAATGCGTTAGAAATATTAAAATCTTTATTTTGTTCCAAATAATTGTGCTTGTGCACCCTTA